CCCAAAAACTAAATCAAACCCATAAACTCCAAGCCTCTAAGTCTCAACCTCCAGCAACTCTAGAACTTAGAAGAAATTCAGCAAAAACAGCTCACCTCCAAGTCTCAACCTCCAGCAACCGTCATCGAAGCCCCTTACCGCTGCCACCACTGTTGTCCTGTTCTGCCCCCACTGCGCTGCTGCAACGTCCTCTCTATCGTGTTTCATCCAACTCTGCCGAATCGTCTCCCCGTTGTTGACCATACATGTAAACATCCCCTGCAAGCAATCAAAACACATCATTAGGTGACCATTCTTACAACAAACCATGAATACCCTTATATGCTAAACCTCAAATCATGATTTTTTTTGTCACATGTTGCACTTATTCTAAATTATTCTAACATACCATCTGAACAAACCTTTTTAGGGCAAGTACAAAGCAGTGTGTTTACACAGAAGCATAGAAATATGGGATCTTGTGGAGAAAATGTTACCCAATTTATAGTAACAGTCAATGAGAATGTCTAATTCGGTACAAAAAATAATAAAAGAATACAAATGATATAAAAATAGGTCAAGTACAAGAAAGACAATCACAACTAACCGACATAAAACCTTCAAGAAAAATTTTGAAGAGCTTTTGCAGCATGATCTTCCTCTCTAAATTGAACATACATGTTACCAACCTAAAGCAAGAAATAAAACACATTAAAATTTATTAGTCGCTGACACTACCGTCACACTTTGCACTGCCGTTGTCAATGGCAGTGAGACATTAATTGTCTATATAGTGTCAAAAAAGGCACAGTGCCAAACATGGCAACATATAATGTCAGGTATTGCACCGAGCTTAATATTGGTTCAAGTGGTTTAGCCCTCATTTCATTTGATTCGCTAGAAATTAATCCATTGTAGTGGAGAATCTCATCTGATCACCATGCTGTCATCATGACATGAACGTCTATCCACTTGTGAATTTAACAAAAGATGAACTCAACCCTACTCGAATAGTTATCTCTAAGAGAATATGAATGAAATTTTAATCTTAACATCAATAAGGATTAAGATTGTTCATACTTTATGAAAGGATCTTATGGTAAGTATAAACTTTTCACACTATCGTTACCTGATATCAAATTTATCCACAATGTCCATTTATATCCCATGTTTGATCATTTGAGCTACATTCTAGCTAGTCACTTGTGAACTTACCTATACAGTTTTTTAGTGTCACTTTAGAGTGGGTGGTGTTCAAGTGGTTTAATGTAATTTAATTTATTTTAACACCTCATCATTTGCTTAGAACACTCCAGTGCCTCTTCAACTCTTCCATTGGAACATAATGCTGTAACTAGAAGTTCCAGCGCATGATCATGTGGACATTGCCCTTGCTTTACCAAGTAGTTCCACAAACTCTCGCCCAAATCAATCGTATGATTATTAAAGAAAAACTTCATCAACATAATCATACTGCGTGTTGTCGGTAAGAACTCTCGTTTGGTCATCTTGATTTACAGTAAATTGTTATTGAATCATTAACAAAACTGAATCAACAAAAAATAACAAATTTGAATGTAAACAAAACTAAATCAATAACAATACACACCCAAAACTTCATCAACAAAAATGAATCAATATCTTACATATTAAAATTTAGTAAATTGCTACATTAAAATATCCATACAGTGTCAAAAAAGATCACACGAAATGCCACATGTAATCATATAATGGCAATCATGCTAATGTATAACGTCATACAAGCGAATGCATAATGCTAAACAAATTAAATAGATAATGCCAACCTTGACATTGTATAATGTCATTACTGGTAATGTATAATGAAAGATATGTCAATGTATAATGTTATACATCACAGATGTTAATGCATAATGTCAAAAAGCTAAGGGGTAAATGTCAAGAAACTCTACTATTTGCCAACACCATAATCATTAAGTTTCAATACCAATTTTACAAAAAAAATCCCCTAAGAAGTAAATTCACAGTTAAAATTGAATGTCACCTCTTATTTCAAATTGAACATAAAATTAAATTCAAACTTATCCATGGCTGAAAGAATTAGTACCTATTTTACGAAGTAATTCCCTAAGAAGTAAATTTTCAGAGATTTAAAATTGAATGTAATCACTTATGTCAAATTGAATATAAATTGAATTCAAACTTACGTAAGGTGATGGAAGCATCGTCCGCTCAGAGGCTAGGCGACGAAAATGGTGGAGAGGAGGGCTGGAAGGAGATCGTTTGTATTGAGAGAAAGGGAGATGGACGGAGTGAGATGGAATCATCGTCGCACGGAGATGACGATTGCGGCAGGGAGGGGTTTGAGATTGGGGGTGAAGGCGGCAGCAACTGGGATGGAATGAAGAAGATCGGCGACGGTACTTGAGATTGAAGATCGCGATCGAGAAGGGGCGATAATTTCGATTGGAGTGGTTTGTGCGGCCAGCAGGTGAGCAGGGCTAATCAAAACACATCTTTAATTAATTACTCCTATTTGAAGGAGTTTAAGTTTAAACTCCTACTTTGAGGGTATGATCCATGTTTTACTCCTATTTAGGGGGTTTTCTTATGTTTATTTTACTTTTAAGTGTTTTTAAATATTATGCATGTGAATACCAAATTAGTGGCAACCCGACTCGCTAACTCGTCGGTTCGGATTATGCGGCTTGGGGTGTTACAATATATATATATGGGATTGACTCCAGTGAGATGACACCTTACGGTGAGATGACATGCTTCGGTCAGATGACGCAAAGCTCACCACACTGCACTACAAAGCTCACCAATGGACAATGCAAAGCTTACCTGGAAATAAAGCAAAGCTCACCACTATGAACACCAAAACTCACCTTTTTTTTAAATTTTGAAAATTAAAAAATTAATTAAAAATAAAATAGCAACACTGGTCAACCACCGGTCAGCAGCAGTGGCAGGCGGCGGAGCAGCGGCGGCGGCGACCGGCGACGACTGGCGGCGGCAGCGGCAGCCGGCAGTGGCGACCGGAGTCCGGCGGCGGCGACGGTCAATGCTGGCGGTCAACGGTCAAAATCTAGTCAGCACTTTTTCCTTTGATTTTATTTTTTTAAAAAGAATTCAAAGTGTTGAAAAAATATGGTGAGCTTTGCCTTACAGTTTGGTGAGCTTTGTAGTTGTCTTTGGTGAGCTTTGCAGTGGCCAGTGGTGAGCTTTGCGTCATCTGACCGAAGCATGTCATCTCATCGTAAGGTGTCATTTCACTGGAGTCAATCCCTATATACATACATACATACATACATACGTACATACATACATACATACATACATACATACATACATACACACACACACACACACACACACACACACACACACATATATATATGTTAGAATAATAGACCAACGCTAGAGGGAGGTGAATAGCGTTTGATCAAAAAATCGCAGGAATAAAAAATGAATAAACGAGAAGTAAGGAGAAGAGTAAGAGGCACACCGATTTTACCCTGGTTCACCACAACTTGTGGCTAATCCAGCCTCCCGAGAGACTCTCTCGAGCTACACTACTATCTCGTTAAGCTTAACGGTGCTTAACAAACCCGTACAACTTGAGAGTTCGAGTCACACGAACCTCAACAAACCTTCGAAGGAAACAACTCTTCCTTCGAACAACAAGAGAAATACTTTCTCTTGTCAAGTGTCTAAGAACACTAAAAACACTCAAGAACAATACTCTCTCTTAGAGTGGATAATGAGTAACTAAGAACGCTCAAGAACGCAACACAAGCTTCACAAAAATGGCTCTCAAAAAGCTATGAAAAAGTGATGAATGATATGCAATGAAAGAGTAGAAGTTGTGAAGTAATGTGATGTTTAAAACAGACCCAAACACCCCATTTTATAGTGGAAAAATAGGCTCCAACGGACCAAAACATTTAAGGGGTGATTGACACAATTTGTGGGATTTGATTAAATTTGGATCTGCTGAAATTCACCCAGACAGCGCTGTCCTAGGCTTGGACATAGCTGTTCTAGGCTTGGTTTTTAAAAATTGGGAAGCAACGGTCATGCCAACAACGATGTCCAATACCCCTACATCGCTGTTTTGGCTGTTGACTTCCAAACAAGGAAAGTTTTAGCCTTAAATTCCTTTCAACGGTCAGGTCCCTACATCGATGTTCATTACTTCAACATCGCTGTTCAAAAACTTTCTACCAGAGGCATTTCTTTTTGGCTTAGGTTGGACAGCGATGTAGGGTTGTCTACATCGCTATTCCAGATGTTTCTGGAAACCCATCCTTGGCTCAACAACGATGTCTAACATCCAACATCGCTGTTGGAAGACTTAACGCCAAACCATGGTTTTCAGCCACCCAAGCCAGACAGCGCTGTTGGTTTCACCAACATCGCTGTTGGGCTGGTTTAGCCAGACCCATGGTTGGGTTAGTCAGCCGTTAGCCGATGTCAAAAATGTAAATTCTCCAAAATAAAAACCAAGTATTGAAAATGTTTGTTTAATGCATTTTGCTAAGAAACCAAGTAAAACATTTTGAAAACCACGTCATTTAGTTGAAAACCAGGGCTAGCCAAGTTTACGCCGTTTCGCATGGTTTTCACTAAACGACCAAAAAACGAAAGGTGGTTTTTGAAGCGTTTTTGTTGGAGAACTATTTAAACATGCCCAGAAGTAAAAACCAATCATTAAAAGTTGAAAACCACTTGGTTGGTTCGGACGCCAAAAACCAACGCCGATAACCAAAAGCCGAACGCCGGTTTCCGAAGACCGAACGCCGGATGGCTTGGTTTTTGGTTTGGGCGAACTCCAAGTGTTTTTAGGCAGGTTTAAGACTTAAGAAAATCATTTTGAATATGCAAAAAGTATTTTGATGAAATGAGCCTAGAGAGCCATGTTTTGAAAGTTTGTGCCGGTCTTGATCACATTAAAACCGACTCAATATAATTCTAAGTCTTCGTTCTTGATTCTTGGTTCTCAGTTAATCATGCCATGTTCCTTCGCCTTGGTTTTGCTCAGTTTAACTTTGTTATTGTCACGGCGGTTTAGCATTATCAAACCTGTCATAAAACGAACACGACTTAGTACGACATAGGCGTAAACCCGTGTTCCAACAATATATATATATATATATATATATATATATATATATATATATATATATATATATATATATAGTAAATTCCCAAAATTGTTTTTTGTAATAAGGTGTTTTCCTAAATCAGTCCTCAATAAGTTTTAATTACATACGCGGTCCTCTATAATTGAGATTTATTTCCAAGATGATCTTTCGTAAATAATGTTACTCAAATGAGGATTAATTGAGGGTATTTTGGTATTTTTATCCGCTAAATTTAGAATTAATTCTTAAAATGATTATTTATAATGAAGTGCTTTCCAAAATGGTTTTTTCTAATTAAAGATGTGTATTTGATTTGAAATTTAAAAGATTTTTTATAAGTTTTGAATAATTAATGAATTATTTATAGTCAATGTATTTTTTTAATTTTACATTTAGTTGTACAGAAATAACTGTTTTTTGGAATATACTTTAAATTTGGATGATCAAAATACCAAAATATCTCCCAATTTATCATTATTTGAGTAACATTATTTACGAAGAACTATCTTGGGTATAAATCTAAATTATAGAGGACCATGTAGGTAATTAAAACTTATTGAGGACTGAATTAGGAAAACACACCTTATTACAAAGAACATTTTGGGAATTTACTCATATATATATATATATATATATATATATATATATATATATATATATATATATATATTTGAGGATAAGCAATACAATTTATTCTCACTGCAGAAGATTCTCGACACTCAAACAGAAAAATAAAACAAAATCAGGATGTAAATTCTATATTTTATTTACTCACACAATCAAAATCCAAAGCTTATGTCTGAAACATATTGATAATGGCAGGGGTTGCTGCTTGCCGGAGAATGGAGCACTGTTGCATCACCAGATTTCTCCCTAGCTCTCCGTCGACGGGTGCTTCTGCTTGCCGGTGAGTGGAGCACTGCTGCTTCGCCGAATTTTCCCCCAGATCTCCGTTGATGGGGGCTGCTGCTTGCTGGAAAATGTGCCGCCGAATCTCCCTAGCTCTCCGTCTCTAGGTCTTGCCGGAGAAAGGAGCACTTCTGCACCGCCGAGTCTCTCTGTAGCTCTCAGCCGGAGAATGGCATCGACCGTCCGGCTTTACAATTTTCAATTTGGAGAATGGATAAGATCCATCTCTCTTGCCTAAAAAGAATCTATTGGGTCATATATATATATATATATATATATATATATATATATATATATATATATATATATATATATATATATATATATATATATATATATATATATATATATAACCCGAAAACACCACCAAAATCAGTGGGGTAAGGTCCAGGCAACCCTTACCGAATTTATTGATAAAATCATAGAGTTACACGTTCGGGGAGGACTAGACCGAAGCCCCGAAGGTTGAAACCAAAACTTACACAACATACAAAATACAATACATCGAATCCAAGAAAATAAAAGATAGGCAAAACTTACACAACATCATGTGAGTGTTGTTGCAATTGATTTCCCCCCAAGCGCAAATATCTGAATTCCCGAATTAACCAGGCTCTCATCTCTGATCATCTATCCCTTGTTACGGTATTTCCAATTCCACAAATTCATGTTGCTCTTAATGTTATAGATTATATTGTTGGTATTCAGATCTTCGTTACCGAATGAAATTGCAGAATATTGCTTCCAAATACACCAACCAATAACTCCTGGCATCACCAATTTCATGTTCCCACGAAGTGTATGGGTTTCTGATCTGAGGTGCCATTCTAAAATGTGTTGCTTGATGGTTGTAACAAGTCTGATTCTAGGTCCCTCTATTATATCTGCTATTTCATCCCAAATATATCTGATCTTACCACATTGAAGAATGCAGTGGTCTACTGTGGCTTCATTCTTTTTGCAAAAGGGGCACTGAGAGGGCAGGCTATAGCTCATTCTAGAGAGAACATCAGGGAAAGGTAATATGTCATTATTCAGCTTCCATATAAACAATTTGACTCTTGGGATTTGCAAGTTATTCCAACAGAACTTGTCAGAAATTGCCATGTTATTATGCGGTCTACAGCTTTCATAAGCATGCTTTAACTTAATCTTCACCACCTCATCATCCTCTGGTAGCATATCTCCCATAGATTCCCCCCTTATCATGTGAATTCTGCATATTCTTTTCCTGGCTGGTGAGTCTGTCATTTTTTCATCAAAGTTGTTAGCCCC